TGTCCTCCTCCCTTTCCCCCCCCCACACCCCTGCAGTGATTCCGCTCCCTACCCGAACGTTCAATCCGGTTCCTCTTAGTGATCTTTGGCCTTCGTATTGATTGATTTCTCTTTCCCGCGTGTGTTCGCCTGTCCCAAATCCTGTCACTCTTTTAACCAAACGTGATCTGAATGTATGTACACAGCTGATGAGATTACCACGAAATAGTTGAATTCAACACATCCTGTGATCATGATGCTTCTTCTTGCTCTCATGAAATTCGATTCTGCCATTCGTATATATTGTTCACTCTCGGGGAAAGTACTATAAAGGTTTTTGTTCTGAGTTTGTTTACTTGGAGTCCCAAGCAGGATCGTTTATTGAGCGTTTTTGGTAAAATCATTTGTGCCTAAACTTTTACAATTTTTCTTTCTCTCTTTGCTATAGTTGATCGGATTGGGAGAAACAGTACTCGGTGGCTTTATGAGGTGGCATCATACCGGACTGGACCAGTTGATCCAATCGGAAGAAAACTCAGTGAATGGAATCCAGACAGTTTTAACTCGCCTCAGTTCCTTACCCAGTAAGTATTGTTTTTACCACCAGTAAGAGAGCAAACACGTGAGTCGAACACTAACGTAAGATAAATTCTCAGTCATGTATTGGTTTGTGAAGCATAAGATGGGGTGTTTTGTTCACTCTGGTAAACCATATGGATGCGACTACGTGGAATGAATGAATGTTTTGGAATATGGTTGGCCTGCGAACCAGCGTCCGGCGGAGACGCAACGAGGGTCGACGCCATATAATGCGATGTGAAAAATCGAGNAAGTACACGATGGAAAACACGAACAGTCCACTCGATTTGGGATTGGATCCAATGTCAGAAGACAATCCAATTGTCACGGATGTGAATAAGACAGCTACGGTTTGGAAAAGATTTATTATTAATTCGACGTATGCAATTTTCACCATCAAACAAAGAAATGTACAAAAAGCATTCTAATCTGGGATCACGTTATAGTAACCTGGCGGCAGTAATTGCAAAGGCCTCTACCGAGAAAATTACCGAATCTAATCCTCTTGAAACACTTATGATTTGATAAATTATGATTATGTGAAATTAACGCATCGGTATTGAGCAACGCAAACTGGGTATATTAAATCAACAACACTTTGATGCCTCGATTTGTTAATCCATTGAGTTTACTCCCATGGATTGTTGTCCAAATCGATACAACAAGAAGGAATTTGAACAGAGAAGTCAGAAACATGGGTTTGCACAATGTATCCATGGTCATTTCACTGCATCTGTACACGNTTGAGAGAAAAAACACAAGATCGCTGATCACAACGGACAATGCAACGCAAAAACACAAAAATAACACAAAAAGGAGGAATGAGGTAGGGTAAATCAAATTGTATTTACCAATTCAAGTGTGGATGCTCAGCCGTCTACATCGGCAGGACAGAGAGGCAGTTATGTCACCGAATGGCCGAACACATCCCGGTGTGGCTTAAGAAAACAATGGACGACAATTTTGCAAATGTTACGTCATCGATTGATCGGAGAAAGCTTAGATCTTCTATAACGCAACATTTACTCGAACAAAAACACTGTCACCCCACCCCACGCATTCCATGTCATCTACAACACAGAAAACAAAAAATTACTAAAATTTGCCGAGGCCCTAGCCATCCACACTCTCAAACCTGATCTATGTAAACAACGCGAATGGTTAGTCACATTAGCTTTGCCTTGGTGATTGACACCCTGCCCTATCTCATTCCCCCTTTTTGTGTTTTTGCGTTGCGTTGTCCGTTGTGATCAGCGATCTTGTGTTTTTTCTCTCAAATCTGTTATCTCACTGACTATAAAAATCATTTGGACTGCAGTATGCAGTGTATCAGATGCAGCGAAATGACCATGGATACATTGTGCAAACCCATGTTTCTGACTTCTCTGTTCAAATTTGTGACGGGAAAACAGTATTTTAAGAAGGAATTTATCACGTTTTCATGGTGTGAAGAAAACTTCTTTGTTTATGGCAGAAACTGTCTGAGTTCAGATTGCCCATTAGTGATGTAAACAAAAAGGTTAACTGTCTGGTGTATTCTAACACGTGCAACACTGTCTTGACATGCTGTGCTTTTTTGCGGCAATCTTGTCACTTTCACATAGCAGCTGTGCTCACTAATCTCTCATGCGTTCCTTTTACTATCTACACTGTCTATCCTATCGATTCAACGAAAATGGAATCCCATAAAGGAGGTGAATTCCTCTCAACTCATCCCTCTTCCTCCCGTTGACTGAAATCCACTTAAACTCATGTTTGGAGTCGTTAATATGCTGTGGGTATGGAGAGAGGAAAAATGGATTAATGAAACTATGTTGTTCATATTCATGTGTGATCTCCTTAAAAGCAGGTTGAGATGTGTAAAACCAATCAAATGATTGTACGGCACGAACAGTGCCACAATATGAAGGTTCAGGGTCATCGGAGAACTCATCTTCTGGGAAGTTAGAAGGGAATCGGTGATCCTCCAAGGTCAAGTAACTGATCAAACGTATCTAAAACGCCCAATCCAAAACTGATGAGTTCAACTATTGAGGTGACATTGTCGGCTGGTACGTTGACAACTTCTTATTTCCTTGTTGTATGTGAGGTCCATACTCTTCATGATGTTCTGAAGCGGGAGAGAGAATGAATGAGTAAATACCCTCGCGTCAACAAAGTTGCGTGTGTTTTGTATATGAGTAGTTCATGGGTACAGTGAACAAGTGACAAATACAGAATACCTTCACAGAAGCAAAAGTCCATCTTAATTATCACTCGCTTTTTGCTAAGAATAACTTTTTGGTACCCTACTCTGGTTTGGAAAAAAATACAAAAAAATACAACAGCTGTACTATATTTCAGTGCACGGCTTAGTGAGTTAAATGCAACTTGATCTTTGTATTCCCGACAGATATTTTGGCTTACCGATATCTCCGGCATTTAATCACAATCATTAAATCACTAGACCGTAGTTTAAAAAAAGCGTAGGCCTTTGAAACAGAACTGTGAATATGGTACTCGAGTTATATCGTTTCAAGTGAAGACAAGTATGCGCTTTATGCACCGCAAAAAGTGAATATTTAGCAGTCATAAAGTCAAAATAGAACCAGCAAGCTAGCAAAATTAAAACAGGGTTGGGCAAAGCAGGACAAAAACAATGCGATTTACAAAATGAGTGCGTATAGTTCACGAGCGATACGTTCTGGATTACAGAGAAATCGGGTAAGATAAGGCACCACAGAAGACCGGTAGGCGTTTGTGAGAGCAAATATACAGTTGTAGCGAGACTGGATGAAAGAAGAGGACACACACCTAATAAGAACTGCTTGTAATGAATGCAAAAGGTTGTTCATGATGTCAGGGGATAACGAAAAACAAGACCTTGTATACTGTGAAGTGTCAGAGAATTTCACGTTAAATTCAGCTACTTCTAGATAAACGTGCGAAGGATCTGGAAAGCAACTTAAAGTCCTTCTTGAGCATCCCTGAGAAGATTGCAGGGATCCGTATAACCAAACGAGCAAAATGCACGCAAAAAGAAAACGGCGGGTTATCAAGTGAGGGATGGATAAAGCTTTCAGAAATGGGACATAAAATGATAATTGATTTGACTTCTCTAAAAGATAACCGTATATTTTGACCAACAGTTCTTCAATTGTGGTATTCATCGTCAAAACAATGGATGAATATTCTGTTTGTAATAGGAAGAATTGTGGTACTCGTGCAGCGAAATCTGTTGGTACTACACACATCCCGTGACATAGCTTCCAGACAGTCAACCAGGACACGGAAAGTTCAACTAATTTGATGAGACCAATCGCACGTGATCTAAATGTCGAATGATGGAAAGCTGACATATAGAATGTACCAACGATGGTTGGACTCAAAAGCACGAACAGATGTGTGAATCAGACTTGTGATATCTGTTGTGATGCGGTTCTTAAAACAATCAACAATCCCTAGCACTCATCTTGGTTCTTTCCGACTTCTTAGTATTTAGCTAGCTTTAACTCCAAATAAGAATTCATATTATTCGAGCTAAAGTAACAGTTTGAAGATCACTAACTTACATGATTAACAAAAATTTCGCAAAGGGTGAAAACATTAGACACAGAAGTATCATGACCTTGAAATTTCATCCTGTTTCTGAAACTTTCAGTCGTACAATTTGCCAATAGAATGTTGATAGAGCCATGAACACCATGAGTGATTGAGGTTTAGGCACTGTTAACCAAAGTCCCTCCCGCTTCATTTCAGGTTTCATGACACTCAGCCTGTTCGGACTGGGTCTACTGACTACCGTTTTTAGCTTATGGGGTATTATTGCCGTTTGGCTGGGACGCAAATCGTTGATCCATGGGGTTCGTTTACATTCGCGTATTCCATAATGCAAATTAGTTCTGATCTACCAGTATTTTTTATTGTATTTTATTTGTTGTAACAAAATGCATTTCCATTTTTTTTCTTCCTTTTCTTTTCATTTTACTTCCTTTTATTGAATATGCAAAGACAGGTTTTAGGTAAGGGGAGGCGACCAATCAGAGCGCTGCTATTCAACACTATGGAGAAAGTTAGGCGGTGATGCTGGGATTAGAACACACGTTCCCGGGGTGATAATTTGTTGACGTTACCACCGGACCACCACCGCCTGATGATAACATCACGTTATTATCGCAAATCGTGTGCGCACAATTTGAGCAGAATGTGTGTTTATTGCCCGGAATGAACCGGAGTTTTTCAAACGGGATCATTTGGCGGAAACGTCTGCACACTGAGTGACTTAACCAAAATGTTCCGCTATTGTTACGCATCAATTTCGGTCAGCACAGAAATTCATTCAAAGTGACATTTGAAGGAGGAGGGTTTTGCATGTCTTTTTTTGTCACAAAAACTTTGGTGGAACAGTTTACAATAAAGGTAGAGAAAAATCGTTCTCGGGAATTCGCCATCGAAATCAAATACATTCCTATACAGACGTAAATACAATTTATGTCCATGAGAGATTTCGGGATTAAAGAGTCGTATTGTTTAATGAAACCTGAGATTATTTTACTTGGCGACTACGATTCATCTCCCGTTAAATCTGCTTTCTCTCGGTTACTGTTCCGCATTGATTTTTGGGAATATGTTCACTCTAGGCCCACATTATTTTTCATTTATGTGAACTTTCAATCACTAAAAAATGAATGCCAGCAAGATCAATAAAGTACTATCTACCATTGGCAGATGCATCTAAAATCAGTTACTTACCACATAAATTTTGTGTGATGGACAACACATGAATGCCGTGGTGGAACTGTGCAACAACCCACAAATTAAACAAATAACACCCGCAGTATCAGAAACACACCTACCGACAAGGAGAAAATGCACTTCTTGGCGAATAAAATAGTTTTCGGCTAAAAATATAATGTTGAGTTATTTGAACGAAAAGAAAATTTAAAATGGAATGTCAACGACGGGTTGGTCATTGGTCTACAATTTTCATTCTACCATCAGTCCTCCCATCTACATCTTTTTGACAATGCGGTCCTGCGAAAACAACTGATCGCAAATCGTGCTACTCGGGGATGACGGATTCCGTTATTTTTTAATTGTGCAACTTACAATATGTCGGTCGGGGCTACCGGAGTTGTTAGTATAGTCCAATATACGTAGAATCCTTTTCATTGCGTTTGTAACTACAAATCAAATCAAATATTGGTGATTAAACCCACGATTTGAAACACAACAGTCTACGTACTGTTGTTGTGGTTGGTGAATGCTTATGAAGGGCACCAAAGACAACTCGGTCTGAATCTTATTAAGACTTATTAATTGGAGCATACAGTGTCAATTTTCGCACCGGGGCTAGAATCTTCAACCTTCGGATGAGGAGCAGCAACCGTTACTCCGGAGATCACATAACCATACTGTTTTTTTCTTTCTGGTCTCCAACTGCCTACTTCTCTCGCGAGCATAAATACAAATTTTTTACTGTCGCTTTTTGATTGCATTTTCTAATTCTAGTCTTTCAAATTTCCCATTCAATCCCCTTCCGCTCCGATCCTTATGCGCGGTCAGTATGCGATCACCATCGGTGTGGTTGCGGTCGTACAAACTGCGTTTGCATTGTTCGGTCTGGCTGGACAAAATGAGGTAAGTCTCAGTCGGATTTCGACCTCATATTTTGTCCGCTCGATATGATCAGTTGCACATGGGAGACACATATTTCAATAATTTAGACACTTTTTTTATTTAAAAAGCAAAGTATGACTTGAATGATAATTCTATAAATCATCACAATAACAAAATAGCATTTCTTTCAAAAGCCTCGTCTGACCGTCCGAAAATAGGTTTTACCTTGATCTAGCCAGTACTTTACAGGGGTATTCGCCTGATTGGATTTTGGAACAATCTGTTTGCACCTGGTGCGTGCCCGTCCAAAGACAGAAAAGCAATCTCACCCTATGTCTGATATTCAGTAACACTAACTGAAGAAAAAATGCTGGTCACCAATTAATATATATCCGTTACCACAAATTTGCATTATTGAATAGTAAAAATGTGCATGCAAATCCCAGGGAGCACCGTTCTTTTTCAATTCATCGTGAACTCAGTTTGATTTGCATACAAAAACAACGTACCACTCCTTGAGGAGTTCGATCATTGGAGTTGCCATGACAACCACAATTCTGGTATGTTAATGTAAACAGTTCAATATTTTGTGATTTTTGACTATTTATTATCCGATTTAACGAACCAACGGACACTAACTGAATAAAAATGAAACACAGTATGAGAAGACTATTTGATCTCAATGTACTTTTTGCCTTTAATTACTGCCAGTACTGAATGATTATTAAAAAATAAGAACCCCGCATTGATAGTAAACCATTCACCAGAATTTGGCTTCTCATATACTCTGAATGATCAAAGAGCGCAGGGTAACAGTTACAACGTCATCAGCAACCATTGGTGGAGTGGGGTTTTACTGAGGGTCTTTTGTATGTAATCGATCGTTTGGAGAACGGGAATGGAATTTCACAAAATGGAGTGATAAATAGTCCGTTGTTTTTCAGTTAGCAGTAATTAGATTTGTGCGTCAAAGGTTTCAGTAAAATGTCATATATCCACCAATAAAGAGATTGAAGACTCAGTTACGAGTTGGAAGAGTTTGTGCACTTATCAACGAGGCACTGTTGATCACTTAATTCTCGGTCTAGTCTATACCGCCGAATGAATTTACCCCACTATTTGCACGTTGTGACTTACCGTTACAGACTTCATTGAGCACAATTACCCGCACTTTCCCCGAGTGGAACTGATCTGATAGGAAGCCTTCCTCACAGAGTCAATGGGCAATAGACGGCGTTCCCCATATGGTGCCGTCCGACCAAGTGATTGTCTTCCTCGCAGTAGATACACATTAACAAACATCAATACGCAGTTCTATTTAGCACGGGTTTAGCACACAAGCCTTCCATGTCAGGTTTTTTAAGTTTTGATCTTGGAAAAGTGGTAGATATGCACAAATGGTTAGCTCCAACAAACTGAACACTCAAATCGGGTATGGCTGATCGGATGAAATGAATATCATGCGTGAAGTCGAAATTTGAAGGACCTTCAGCTGAAATCTGCAACGCTCAACGCACGCTACTATTGTACACAAGTAACTGTAAGCTGAATGTTCTGATTCTTTGATATTCCGGGGGGGGGGGGGGG